GGGGGGGGGGGGGAGAGGTTCTAACACCGACGGTACTCACTCGCAGTTCGGCTGCTCCTACTACAAAAAGGCAGGACACCCGCGCCCTATCCCTTCACCCCCTTGCGAAGTGAACCCCAACTACTAACATGAATAATCACCCATCCTTTGCTAGGCTGACGTGGGGAGCAACACCTCAGCCCGCCTTGCTGAGAAGAACCTATCGGCCGCACCCCCTTCGCCCAAACACAAAAAGGCATTCCTCGAAAAGCTCAATGCTGCTACCGTACTTCCCTCATCAAGGCCAACGTCGCACCATGCGGGATACCGCAGGGACAACAACGGCGTATGTCTACAACAGACCAAAGCGGCGGACCACTGCGACACCCACAGAACAACAGCGATTGAGAATGCGTCATGCGTCATCCGTCGTCTAATAAGGTGCCTGATGACCACCTCCATGTCATGCCACACACGTACCCAACGTAGGCTATTCGACGCATCTACATGTCTCCGTTCCTGGAAACAAAAACCCGAATCCCTACACTTGCGCCGAAACGGCACCTATCGCGCCGCCTTCGGACTCGCCCGTGCCATTTCCCCTGCCCGCGCGTGTGCTCCACCATAAGTACATACCACCACTTGTTGCAAGCAAACCCCAGTATCATAGCAGCCAGTTTCGCCGCACACCTAACAATCTCAAGCCACCTAATTGGTTAGCCCAACCAACCGCCGAGGGAAATAATGCGCCAAGGTACGCCTCGCAGGGAACGGCACCGACATGCACACACTACACAGTCCGTCGCTGTCGGGGGCGCCCCGATGGTAGGTCGCAACGAAGAAACACACCCACCCTGTCACACTTGACAACAGCAACACTCGATATCTCGACAAGACCTATAACGGGTCACGCTTCTCTGACGCGCAGAACACCACAGCCAACGTCAAAACGGAATCGAATCGGGGCCCAACGCGGCGGCAGCGCGCACACCCCACAACACTCTTCGAGCATCAGAAAACCACGATATCCTATTTTGAGGCTCCACCCGCACCACGATATCCTATTTTGCGGTTCCACGTGCATTTTGCATCCTGTCTGAAACCCACCACCTGTTTCCCTGCAGCCATGCCGCAAGCAACGCGATATGCACCAACTCAGGCAACACGCTCTTCGACCGGCCAGGGAGAACATTCTTCTGCCTCCCGTGCGGTCCGACGGACTTTCTCTCCACAGAACAAAAAAAGAAACAAAAAGGCACGACGGTCGTCACCCACCCCTTGGCATTCGCACCTCGAGATGAAATAAACACTACGGTATGTACACCGGCCAAGAACCGGGGCGCTCGCTTGGAAGAAGTCACAGCACCTCACGCCTCGTCCACACAAAAAAACGCACGCTAGTTCGCGCGCGAACATTTCCTCGCGGCCAAGCGATACCCACCCACCCCTTTTCTCAATCACTGACCCCCACGATCCTAAGGAGCGCACGTGAGCCAAGAGCAGCGCGTGGCCGTACAGAACAACAAAACACAAACAAAATTATGTACCAAAAGAATACTCGTAAAAAAAAAAAAAAAGCTAACTATCCCACCATCGACTCTTTCGAAATTCCATGTACCCCACACCACCGTGCACAAATTGAGCCTCACTTGAGAGGCTGAGCGCCACAAGACTTGGACCACAACGTTTAGAACTCGCACACCACACCATCAATCAAGAAAGGACCACCCCTTGCCGAAAGGGCGGAGAAAAAAATAACGAAATACAACAAAGGAGAAAGAGGCAATAGCCCCGTTCTTCGATGAAGCAGCCGAGGTTACAAACTCAAGAGCTACGGTTCCTTCGAGATCGCCTGCCCCTTCCCCAATCCAGCCGTTGGCGTGTACAGTGGTCGTCATGTGGACGTGTCCATCCCCTCCAACCCGGCGCTTGCGCCTCCTTCCTGTCTCCCTGGGAGTGCCGCCGATGGGACGGCGCTGCTGCCTCCCGACCCGGGAACGATCTGAGCAGAAGAAAGCACGCCGGCGAAGATCGGACGGGGCAGGGAGAGATAGATCCTCACTGAAATAGTGGCTGGTGATGCCTCGTGTAATCTCCCAATGGGAAAGCAGGACTGTTATATAATAGATCCAACCAAGAACACAACCACAAGCACCCCCAACAAGTACATTGGACACGCCGGGGCAGTGAGGGACTACCACGCAACTTTCTGGTACACTCATTACGGTCGTTGAACCCGCTATTTACTGTTCGTGTTTTGCCCACTTCGGCTGAAAGTAGTGCTGGTACTCCGTGCACTGGTACTTGGTACGCTGGTTGCAACGGCCATTACTTTCGACGCCTTCCCGCGGTACCGTTTTCCCGCTTTCCCGCGGTGCCGACCCTTGGCGTTTTTTTTTATTGTTCCTTGGCCGGCCGGTTGGCACGGAGGAAAATTGCGACGGAGGCGACTTGACGTAAGCACACGCGCGCGGGACCATACCCGTCGGGAGGCTCCGCGAACTAGAAGGAAAGCATCTGAACTTCCAATTGCTCCGCTTTTTGAGACGTGTGGCGTGTTTTCATTGGGGAGCCGGTTACTACAGTACTACAGTACTACAGTACTACAGCGTGTTCGATGCTAATAACGAGAATGATGAAAAACACACGCTCGATGGAATCCGAGAGCATGGTCTTCCCTACGTATTACACTGACGTCCGTTCGTTGGTCCACCCAGTGGCGCGGTCCACGCCAGCAAAAACGACACACGCACACACACACACACACACACACCTTCATGGTTATTAGAAGAGTTTCCCGTTTGTTACAAGACTCGCGTGTGTTCATTGGTCAGCCACTTGTCGCGATCGACGTCGAAAAAAATGACACACACGTACACCATGGTCTTGAGAAGCACACTGTGTTTTTACCTGCATTTGAGATTGACATATTTCATCGGTTCAGCCGGATA